GTGTTTAAGTGCGCTTTCGTAGAAAGGTTTGCATTCATCGAAGGATTGTTGGTCAGATGAAAGGGAAGAGATTCGCTTGTTAATTGAGACGGGAATTTGCTTTAGAATGGATGGTGGATGGTTAGATCGGCTGTCAACGTAAAGTGGTTGGTTGTTTGGTTTTCTGTACGGTGCAAATGTTTCATTTTTCAAATTTAGCGTAATATCCAGAAAGTTAACGACTTGATTGTTAACCTGAGCAGTTATCTTCAAACCAATCTGACCGAATATGTCATGCAACGTCTTTTTTGCTTTGTCCGCCTTTCTTCTGTTAACGCCTTCAATTAATGCAAGGCCATCGTCGCGGTATAGCCCAACATTTTCTTTACCAAACTTCTCCGCGAGCTTACTCAGGACGAACAAACCAACCAATTCGCAGATCTCCGCTCCATCAAAGCTGCCCATCGTTACACCAAATAATGAATCGCTACTTCGTTTTGTCCAAGCTGTATCGCCGTTAAACAAGAGTGATTTTCGCGCATGTTTGATTATGGAAATATCTTCTTCCGGGATTGTTGTTAAAGTTGTAGCCCAAACGATGGCGCGGTCAAGCAGGTCTTCTGTGATGGAAGGGTAAAATTCAACTATGTCAAACGATAAGAATGTATGGTTGGGTTTTCTTTCGATGTTCTGGAACCAGTCAATAACAGACTATATATACCATATATATATATATATATATATATATATATATATATATATATATATATATATATATATATATATATATATATATATACTATTTAAAGCACGCGTAGGAGTGTTTTATCAGATATAAAACGCGAGGCGCAGCCGAGCGTTTTACTGTATCTGATAAAACACGACTACAAGTGCTTTAAATGGCTTAAAAAACGACCTATCATCTGATCGGTACATTAGCAAAGTAATTTTTAAAATAAACTTTTTCTAAACCAAGAAAATCAAAGCTAAAGTTTATGTAAATTAACATGATTTTTTATCACATATAAAGATACGACACGCTTATGATTTTTCTTTGTGTTTTGCTCCTGAATTATTAATGAGTTTTTTTATATATATATATATATATATATATATATATATATATATATATATATATATATATATATATATATATATATATATATATACTATATATGACTGCATATGAATATCAGACTGAGTGTGATATCAGTGTTTAACTAAACCGTGGGTTATGCCGTTGTTTATTCTGTGGTCTATGGAATTATTTATGACTATGTTCATATTACAAAGTGCGTACTGTATATCAGAAAAATACTGTTATAAATATTGCTGTTATCCCATTACTTAGTGCATGGAGGCCAAAAAATTATCAGGCTAAAGCCGTGATTGTATATACCACTTGATGATACACGCCCTGAGGCTGAAAAATGTTGTACTTTACTCCCTGCTAACCTCCTACCCTACCGATCTACAGGGTTTTTTTAATAAATATGACGAACCATTTAATATAATTAAAAGTATTTTCAAAGATAAACCATCGACAGTTTTGAATTGAGCATTTAGTCTCTGTTTTTCGGCAGTGTCCACATGTTTACTTTGTGATTTGTCACTCATTTGTGACAAAAATTTAATTACATTTGAAAATTTTATCAACCTTCCTATAAAATGAGACGCGTACCTTTAGTAAATCTGCACAAAGTTTATCAACGTTTTCAAACAACAAAATAATTTAATCTAATGGGATATTTTCGGAACAGATAAAAGTGAAAATGTACAAACGTTGACGACTGACCAGTTTGATATGACTGATATGTTTCAAGAGAATAACCAACTTCAAAGTTTAATTAAAGTATACATTTTATTTGTTTCTTTACTTGACTGTTGATAAAATGCTAAAGTGTTTTTGTAATTTAAAAGCAAACGGAGGTATAAAATAGAAGTCAGCGTGCGCTTCGAACTATATATCGTAAAATCCCACTCCTGGTATTTGAAATTTAACGTTTTCTGTGGAAGCATGTAATTTGATACTTTGCCACTCCCCTTTGGGCAATCAATTGTTGTAGAGTCACGTGACCAGCCGATACCAGGGTCGTTCCCAAAAAGACCCTGGGTACGAGGATGGCGTAACTATAGTATTGTCTAAAGGTATTGAATTACTGCTATTATATATACTAGACTTTAAACTAACTATTCTATTTTCTGTTGGTCTTCGCGGAGCTACGGGCGGATTGTGAATTTCCCCACGGGATTGTGAACATTGGTACCCAGGATGGTTCCCCCCACAGCCAATTCGGTTACATCGGTGAGTGTTGGGGCAAATGGTTCGTAATGGGCAAGGTCTACCCCTGTTGTAGCTGTGGCAAATTCCGTCCCTCGCTGCCCCAGCTTTGTTTGAGGGTCCGTTAGAAAAAAGGGAATAATCTTCCCGCAACTGAGTAGAGCTAGCGGTGAAAATACGCAACCATAACTGCATATCAATGTTGGCCCACGACAATGTCCGACACGCGGCTGCTTTGTAACGAAATTTATGGTCATATATGCTCCAGCCTAAACCGCCATGCCTTTTTGCCGCATGACGGATGGTTTTCGTGTAGGCCTGCTGTAAAAGTTCTGATGCACGATTTGGAATTTTTTTGTACAATGATTAACATTACGTGTAGAAAGCGGTTGTCCACTCTTCAATGTTAGTTAGCACTTGATGCTTGGCGGTGTTAATGAGATTCCCGTAGAGGAAATTGTGAAACCCACGTTGTCGGAAGAATCGGAACCAACATTTAACTAATTTAAATTTTTGGCAATAATTTATCAATCTCAAAAAACTCACCACTTTCGATGTCACGAACGTATTTGTTTGGAATCTCTGGCGTGAATCCCCCATCTGCTTGCTGGATTGAGGCAACAGTTCCATGTGATGAAGTCGGCTGCTACTGGAGCTCGCTGGAACTTAAAAATGGAAATTGACCAAGCTGCTCTAGTCTTTCGAGTGGCGTTCTCGGTGGCGGGATAGTAGTCTGTTCATCTACACGAGTCGCGGTTGATGTGGCGTGTTGGCTTTCGAAGGACGACGAGATCGACTGTGAAACAATCTACGTAATCTGCGCCAGTTGGTCGGCGCTGAAGCTGTCCCTCGCGTTGGAAATAAATAAAGTGTTGTTTACTGGAACGGTTTGAATGTTGTATTGCGGCGTATTCGTGCCTAGACGTTCTCTTTCGTTCTGTAGACGCGTTGTAAGCACCCGTCAGCCGCCAGCGCAGGAAAACTTGAGTTCGCGGCAAAGATTCTTCAACTCCAAAATTGATAACTCGCCCAAATTGCTCGGTATTTCGACGGACGGTTGAGTAACTGGACGGTCGTTTATCCTGCTGACGAACTCGTGATCGTGGTTTGCTAACTCTTGACATGGTGAACGTTTAGAAATGATAAACGTGAAATGATTAATTTTTTAAACGACTCTTTAAATCAGTCTTTATAGGTCGCAATCCAAGTAAGAATGATATAGACAGATGAAGCTAACTCGGATATCTGCCCATGTTTAACTATAGATTTATTGTCCCCGAGCCAACGGCGCAGAGCGCCGTTCCGGGCGTAAGCCCGGGGTGAGGGTACTAATTCCCCCCGGCTATTTACACCCGGGGAAAGGAACGCACTAGCGAAATCTAAGGTTCGTCAATTATCGCGGTCGCGGTTCATGGGTGTATGGGTGGTCATCTCACTGATCTCAAAATGTAGCTGTTCACCAGGAGTGAAGAAGGGGAAAATATAAAAATTACATGTAAAAAAGCTTGGAAAATCATTTCAAATAACAAATTATCAAACTTTTTTCAATTTTTAAACGTAAACATTTATAAGAATCGATTTAGTATGAGAAATCCTAGAGTGTAGCCTATAGGCAGGTTTGTTTCAATTGTTTATGTATGACTTTGTATTAATATTATAGAATTTGTTCTTGTTGCTCGAGTCTTTCCTATGGATTGTATGCGAAAGTTTCATAGTTAAATTAACTTTTCGAACCATTTTTAGAAGTTCATGATAAAAAGGAAAGCAAGTTATTTTCATAGCGTTCTGTAGGAATTAAATTTATTTCATTTCAAAGTGCGAGTAATATATAAGTTGAGCAGAAGTTAATATCACGATCGGCAAAAAGCAGTTAATTTCAATTCACATTTAAAAACGTTTTACGTAGAGTTTCGTTTTCAATTTTACATTAAAATAAAGCACATAAAACCCAAAATAATATATTTACTTTATATATTTTAGGAATTGATAGTTCTGTACTTAAAAGTGTTCAAGTTCATCTATTGTTTGCAGGTTTGAGGTTTGTACAAAAATTTTTAAAAAAATTATCGGGTTGCCATGACAAAAATGACGTGAGCAACGCGAGCCTGCGTTCAGTAATGTTGGCTTAATTACGAATACTTCATGTTGAAACAATGTTTGGAGAATATAGGCGAGGGATTGTTGCATGCATGTATTTCTAGTTGATATTTCTGGGTGAAGTAGCCAGCGGGTTTGGCAAGCAAATAATGAAAGTCTGTGAGAGAGCCTTCCTTTGTTTAGGCAATAGTAGCTTAAGGGTTGGCTTAACATGAACATTTTAAATCTATAATTTTTAGGTCTAGCGCATTGATTATCGTCCATTAACAATAATTTGTATACTCGTAAAAATTACCATTTAAATTTTGCTACTTATGCGGTGAATCTTACGTACGGAAAAGCCATGTTTTGTTACAAGTATTGCAATATTAGTATTATTATTATTAATACACGACAAAGTGTGAGATTAGGCGAGTATTGAAATGGATTGTAAGTGACATCTTGATTAATTGTTCGCAGACACTTTTTCAAGTTTAGGTTAACTTGTATAAAAATGTCGTCTTACATGTTGTGTGGAACTTAGCTATCCAGCCCGGCACACCGGGCTGGAAATCGTGTCACAACGCATGCTTTATTTTATCTAAAAAGCATCTAAAATTCAAAAGAAGTACGAAATCAACAATATTAAAACTTCTGAAGCAGTTTTCCGCTAATAAAAATAGCATTTTTTAAAATTAAAACAAATATCGCATTCCCGCCAAAAATTGCGCGGGAATTTCTATGCTGGGCTATGTGAAACAAATAACAACTTGGCCCGGTAAAGCAAGGTGGCCCGCTTTAACGGGCCAGCCCAGCTCATATGAACCCAAACAATCTATATTTATCATAAATTTCATGACATGAACTTAACGGATTTGTGCAATTGAGAGCCGTTTCAAAATTTTATATTTTTTCTGATACACCCTTTAGATTTTTTTTTCATTTTCGAATTTCAATTTACCTTTTTCTACCAGTTTACCAAGAGAGTCTTGTAAGCATCTCATTTCACAAAAATCTTTACCATCTTTGTTATTGCTCGTCTAAACCATAACAAGAATTAAAGAATTTGCAAATCTAACATTTCGGATCATTTCAGCACAGTGACATGCTGATTTTAAGCATTGAATATAAAATCAGAGCCACCCGCCCACCCCCCCCCCCTCCCTCCCCTCCCCCTTCCAATTGTAATATTGCAGTTTTGTCGGGCAATTTTAACAATTTTAACGATACGCTCGTCGGGCAAAAAATATGTAATTCAGCAAAAAATTTACAGAATTTATTGAATTAAAGTAATAGTTGTAGGAAAATTTTTGATAAATTAACGGAAAATTGAACAAAATACGGCACATTAGTTCGAAAGTTAGTGAAAAAAAATTGTATGTCCGAAAATCTCCTCCCACCCCCCTCCTCCCCCCTCCTCACGCGCACCAAAAATTTTGGAAAAAGAAATATTAATTAACGACCGAATGTCCGTCGTGTACAACTTCGGACACGCCCATTTACTCAGGCCAAACAAGTTTACCCCCCCCCCCCCTGTAGCGAAATTAATTCAGTGTTTGGCAAAATTTACTCAGAACATGCAACCAGTCTATATTTATTATTTATAGACCCGGAGCGAGGGGGATTCTGCGGAATATTACCCGAAGTGATGATATTTTGCAGAGGTGCTTTGCCCCGAGGGAATTATCATCACCGTGGGTAATGTTTCGACAAATGCCCCGAACGGAGGGTCTATAAATGAAATATTATCCGAAAGTTAAAGAGCCCACCAAGTTCAGAATAAACTTTAAAACTTGCCCTCAATACAATTTTAATTTCTTATGTATACCTGTGTTTTTGACGTTTTCTCTTTAAAATATTTGGGCATGTATTTTTTTTATCATTGCATGAAGGCAACATGCGTCATGAAAATCTTTGGTTAACTTAAATCAATATATAAATCTTCTGTACATAATTACAAACAGTTCGCGAACGTCATATTGTTTCAGAGCGTGGTGTCCACGCGTCACGTGAGAGCGTGAGATACTATAATTATATGCAGTAATATGCCCCCATCCTCCCTGGCAAAACAGTGCCTTTTTTAAGGAATTTTCACTGGGGAGGGGGGGGGGGACAGGGAAAAAAGGCAGAACGAAAAATATGAGACGTCGATGTTTGGCGAACGCGCGAGTCTAAAGAGAGATTTTGTAAAACTTTAATTTATTAACTTCAGCTATATTTTACTTTAAACAATAACTTCAACTCTATGACTTTGTAGCTATAATCGTACAGCTATAACCAGTGGCGTAGCCAAACCTTAATTTTGCTGGGGGGGGGGGGGG